ACTGTGGGTGACATTTATAATATATATTTATATAATATATACACACACACATACACGGACAGACACGCACTCAATAAGCAAACAGAAGCCAGGGAGCATTGCTGAAGAACCTGGAGACTGAGAATATTAAAAGGAGACTGGCTGCAAAACTATTGTGCCCTTCTTCAGTTCAAATCTTTTGGAACTTTTTGGAAAAGCACCAAAACTCTACCCAGCTAATTCCAAATCTCAAATTGATTGCTGTCCTGAAAAAGACTTTGTCAAACTAAGGATTACAATCTTTCAAGATTTGATTGAGATGTCCCAGAAACTAAGCTGGTGGAATTAAAATTCACTTCATTAGGCTGGAGTCGAAAGGTAGTCTCAGTGATGGTGACCATCAAACTATCAATAATTGTTGCAGATGCTCATCTGGTTCACTCATATCCATTAGGGAAGGAAATCTGCTGTCCTTATCTGATGTGACTCTAGACCCACAACAGTGTGGCTGACTCTTCTCTGAAATAGCCCTAGCAAGTCACTCAGTTCAAGGGTAATTCGGGAGGGACATCGTGGGGAGGCAATATTCTGGGGACAAAAGCAGAAATAGCTGGAAAAACTCAGCAGGTTTGGCAGCATCTGGGAAGAGAAACCAGAGTTAATGTTACAGGTCCAGTGACCCTTCCTCAGGACTCTGGTTTTGTTTCTGACTTCCGGCATCCACAGTTCTTTTGGCTTTAATGTTCTGGGGACCTGGGATCGTATCCCGCACGGCAGATGGTGGGGATCTGAATTCAGTAAAGAATCGGGAATTATGAGTCTAATGATGACTGTAAATCCATTGTCGATTGTTGGAAAAACCCATCTGGTTCACTAATGTCCTTTAGGGAAGGAAACTGCCATCCTTACCTGGTCTGGCCTACATGTGACTCCAGACCCACAGCAATGGGGTTGACGCTTAAGTGCCCTCTGGGCAATTAGGGATGGGCAGTATAGCCAGTGACACCCTCATTCCATGAATGAATTTAAAAAAACTGTTGTTGCCAGCAATATTCTTTTCACTGGATACAGACAAATAACAAACTATAATTTTCTACATCTTACAGTTTGAAAATTAAGACCATGTTCAGTTGATTGAAAACTCTTCGTCAGGAGAACCAATTTTGCTTAAAGGGGTAAAGATGGAGCCTGTCCAAGGCTTGCACCTTCTGCAGGTGCTCAGTGGCTCAGTGAACTTTTTCTGTTTGATCGATTTGTACGAGTGGGATTTATTTTCTGCGCCCAGCATTCAGTTTTCCCTTAATAATACTGGCGTTGGGTGTGAGGAGGTAAAAAAAACAAAGTTGCTGGAAAAGCTCAGCAGGTCTGGCAGCATCTGTGAAGGAGAAAACAGAGTTAATGTTTCGGGTCCGGTGACCCTCAGAACAGTTCTGAGGAAACGTTAACTCTGTTTTCTCCTTCACAGATGCTGCCAGACCTGCTGAGCTTTTCCAGCAACTTTGTTTTTGTTCCTGATTTACAGCATCTGCAGTTCTTTCAGTTTTTATTGGGTGTGAGGAGGTGTCTACTGTTTTGGAAAAATGGGCAGTATTACCCAGCAGTGATTTCTTCCTTCATATGCTGCAAGTGTTTTCATCATGCACAATAAATAATTTGGATGCATGGTACTGGTGTGTAAGACTCCTCTGCACCAAACTAGACCACCATTATAGCAGCAAGGAGTTCCCCTGACAGTTTCTGCTGAGTGGCCGTGAGCTATTCTTATTATAATTTAAAAACAAGTAACTACGAACATACATTCCCACGCCTCCCCCAAACAGAATCTGCGTCCCTCTCTCGGTGCTTGCATGCCTATTAAGGTGAAATCCTTACTCTGACTGATTACAGAAAGCAGCAGTAACATGGTTGAAGTTGACTACCACTGTAGCGGGAATGTGCAATCCCCTATTAACTGCAACTGTTGATCTCCCAACCTGACAGTATCTATTCCAAAGCAGCAGAGCTGATAGTTTTGACTGAATGTGTAGCAATCGCGGAGCAGGAGGTGACCACTCGGTCTCTCTTAGCCATACTAGTCAACAGAAATGTTCATTCCAATGTTAAATCTTCTCTCATTCACACTCAGATCTAAGGGCAAGTCCCCTGTGTGACGATGCTGGAAAACTGTAATGCATGGAAGCATTACTACTGGCAGTGGTTACTTGGCCAAATATGGTTGTAAAATCTGGAATACCCCTTCTATACCTCTTGGCCTTCTTTCTCCTTATCAAAGTTGCCTGAAAATCTGAGATAGTAGGAACTGCAGATGCTGGAGAATCCGAGACAACAAGTGCAGAGCTGGATGAACACAGCAGGCCAAGCAGCATCATAGGAGCAGAAAGGCTGACGTTTCGGGCCTAGACCCTTTCAAAATCTGATTCTTGTCCAGCCAGATATCCCCCTGCATGCTGTCCCCAGCACTTCCACACCATCTTGTGCTTCAAAGCATGCTCGCATCCTGTTCCTCGGGCATTTATGATGGACTTTGAATGACACTCCACGAGGCTTTTGTCAATCAGATAATTCAGGGATACTATTGCATACTTCTGGTGAAGGTGGGACTTGAACCTGGGCCACCTGGTCCACATGTAGGGACACTACCACTGCACCAAAAAAGTCCTTTGGGCTCCGACTGAACTTCACAGTTCGCTCTGGAGATTCAGTGGAGGGGTCGGTGGAAGAAGGAGAGAGTGGGATTGAGTGGAAGATAGACCTTGCAATCACAAGGGGGTGATCTCTGCAGGAATGAAGCTCCCACAATCCCACCCCTTCTCCTGGGCAAAAGCACAGGATGGTCACTGCCCCCTCCAAGTGGACCTCACCCCACTGGGTCATTAAGGTATTCATTCAGAGATGGGTTTTGTGAAATGGGGTCTCTTCCAGGCATGATGTCAGATACATTTCGCCATTCCTTCAGTGTCACTGGGTCAACATGCTGGGGCTCCCTTTCTCGTTGTATTGTGGGTGTACTATGGACTGCAGTGGTTCAAGAAGGCATCTCACCATCACCTTCTCAAGGGCAATTAGGGATGGGCAATGAAAACTGGCCCAGACAGCGACGTCCACATCCCACGAATAAATCAGAAAAAGTCTCACCCTTGGGATGTACTACTGACTGAACCTATTGGAGGAATCTGAGCATATTCCAATGCACAAACAGAGCATTTTTTGATTAGTAAATAAATCACCATTGGACATTGGTTAAAATCAACTCTAATTAAGCAGCAAGCAAAACTTTGGAGAGCAGTATGTATTCCTTCCTTGTGGAAACTTTGAAATGTATTGGAAGAACAGGAAGTCAGATAATTCATCTGTTGCTCCAGAGATAACCCACAAAATCTGAACGTGGATCTGTGTTATACTTTTACGTTAGCCATTGAAATTACATTCCTATTTTGGATAAATGCACACAAGCCATCACAGATAAAGAACGTCCCTTGGTGGTAGTGGAACCAAAGGCTACATGCAAGGTCCCAAGGGCAGTATTAAAGGTTTACTGGATGGAGGTGTATTGTTTACGCCATTCAATATTCAGCACTGGGTGATGGAATACTTCCAAATAGCAGGTCTCTGATGAGGCTTTACTGCAAGGGGAATGGATAGGAAAAGCAGGGCGCTTGCAAGACTGCACACTGGGTACAGTTTTAGCTTTATTTAAGGTAGGATCTAAGTGCACAGATGTTCAGAGAAAGTTCACTCCACTCATTCCTGGGTAAAGGTCACTGTAGTCCTACTGGACCATAGGGCTACTCTCTCATTAGAGAGAGACAACTGGTGGCGGTTTAACCTGAGGGTCACCACATCTCAGGCAAGGGGAGAGGTTTATAAGGACGGTCCTTCATGGTGACCTCGGTTGGCATAGGAATTGAATCCACACCGTTGGCATCACTCTGTTTTGTAAACCAGCCATCCAGTCAACTGAACTGTCCAATCCCAATTCCTGTGATGGTGTGGTGTTTGTGGGGGTGTGAGAGGGGCGCGTGTTGGGGGCCTGGGATGGTAACCTTATGAAGGAGATTTGGGACAGGTTAGGCTTGTATCTTGGGAGTTGAGAAAAATGAGACGTGAATATGTTGAAACACTTGAGAACCTGAGGGGACTTGACAGAGTAGGTGCTGAATGAGTGTTTCTGTTGTTGGGAGAGACTAGAAAGGAGGGGACACACTTTAAGAATAAGGGGTTGCCCATTTAAGGTCGAGTCGAGGAGATTTCTTTTTCTCTATTAGAGGACTGTGCCTCTTTGGAACTATCCTTGCCAGGGGACAGTGGAGACAGAATCACTGAAGATATTTAAGACGGAGGTAGACGGATTCTTGGCTAACAGGGGAGTTATGTTTTTTGGGGATAGGTTGGAATATGGAATTAGGTCACAATCACAATTACAATTACCCATGATAGCATGGAATTTACTTGAGAAAGGATGTATTGGCACTGGAGGGGGTGCAAAGGAGGTTCACTAGGTTGATTCCGGAGTTGAGGGGGTTGGCTTATGAGGAGAGACTGAGTAGATTGGGATTATATTCATTGGAATTCAGAAGATTGAGGGGGGATCTTATAGAAACATATAAAATTATGAAGGGAATAGATAAGAAAGAAGTAGAGAGGATGTTTCCACTGGCAGGTGAAACTAGGACAAGAGGGCATAGCCTCAAGATTAGAGGGAGCAGATTTAGGACTGAATTGAGAAGGAACTTCTTCACCCAGAGGGTTGTTAATCTATGGAATTCCTTGCCCAGTGGAGTAGTTGACGCTACTTCAGCAAATGTTTTTAAAGATAAGGTAGATTTTTTTTGAACAATAAAGGAATTAAGGGATACGGTGAGATCGCGGGTAAGTGGATCTGAGTCCACGAAAAGATCAGCCATGATCTTATTGAATGGCGGAGCAGGTTCGAAGGGCCGGACGGCCTACTCTTGCTCCTAGCTCTTATGTTCTTATGTTCTTATGGAATGGCAGAGCAAGTTAATGACCTGAACGGCTCAATTCCTCCAGCTCCACACTGTGTTATCTCAGACTCCAGCATCAGCAGTTCGTACTATCACTTCTGTCCCTAATTTGTTTGTTTGTGTGTGGGCACAGCACAGGTACACACAGACAAAAAACTTTGGCCCAAAGTGCTTTAACCTGGAGAGGGACACTCCCATGTTCCCAATTTCTACTATGTCTTCTCTCTGCCTAAGGTGGCGTTTATGTGCTGAGCACCTTCCCAGTGGAGGAGTGGGGGAGAGGGGGTTAATATGATCCCAGAATCCCACAGGCTATCTATGTTCTAATGGGACAGGAGTCAGGGTGGCAGAGGTGAAAGGTCATTGTTGAACCCAGCTCATTACCTGGCTGGAGATGTGTTTGCAATCACCATTTTTGGAAAAATGGCCAGCATTTCAAAGCCTTGTCTCTTGAACAAAGTTACGAATGAAGACTTCCACAGTGAATCTGATTGCAATCTATCACCATGGTGATAACTGTCCTGTTGGTGATGCACAACAGAATTTGGGAAGTGACGCATTCCCATCCACACAGTTTTCTGAGTTGTTTGTCCAATAACTATCCATAAAGATTCCATCTTAATTCAGAAACTCTGAGAACATCAAAAAAAAAGCACCTTTTGTTTTAAACAATTGCATATTATCATGCCAAGTTCACTAATTACAAACAAGATACACTCTGATACGTTGCCCCACTTTGCCTTGTTTGCTGTTTGCTCAGTCGTCATGATTAAAAATTTACACCTTTCTGACTCTTTCTTGTTGTTTTATTCAGCTTCTTCTTTGCTTGCTTGGCTCTGTTAAAGCGAAAAGAAAAGATTTCAGTTTAGCTGTTTCCTCTTTTTAAGAACCGTGAAGCTTGTAAGTGATGTATAGGAGATAGTAGGAACTGCAGATGCTGGAGAATCCCTTTTCTGATGAAGGGTCTAGGCCCGAAACGTCAGCCTCTCTGCTCCTATGATGCTGCTTGGCCTGCTGTGTTCATCCAGCCCTGCACCTTGTTGTCAAGTGATGTATAGGCCTGGGTTGTCTGACAAAAGAGGTAGGCCCAATGTCCGCAAGTGTCAAAGCAACGCTGGAAAAAGCTGCCCAACTTAGTAGGCCCCAGGTTTAATTCCAACTAAAACTGGTTGATCAATACTCCTGAGGGAACCTCAATTGCACCAGCCAATAGGGGAAGCTGGCAACTGATGGAGTGGAATTAAACAAGCACACATCTTGTTAGTGGTATGTCAATTATATTGTTAAACTATTGTGAAACTATTCCCCTATTGGCTGGGGCAATTGAGATCTTGTTTGATTAAGTGCCCCCCTACAGCACTTGAGGACAGACTGCCGGGACCCAGGGAGAGGAGACAGGAGGCAGACAAATTCAATACTGCATTCTGTGAACGAACTCATTATCAAGAAATGGACTAGTGCCTGGTTTCATACATCGCCAACTGGCTTGGGAGGGAGGTGACATTTTGCATTCCACGGCTGGGGTTTTATGTTGGCTGCAGGGGAAAGTAGGGAGGAGATAGGTGTAACATTGGGCACAATGGCAGCACCCATGGTGGAGGAGGTGTGCGTGACTTCCTCCTATTTGGGTGCCCTATGGAGGACGCTCCAAGGTGCGCCCTTGACTGCCCTCCCCACTCTTTCCCCTCCTGCCCACTGCCCTGCCACGGAGTCCAGACAGGTATCACCAGCCTCCCAGCCTCCTGGATCTGGTCAGACCTGGACCTAACTCCGTCTGGGCTCCATGGCCCCCTTTCCTCAGGGGATTCGCTGTAGTCCCAGCAGTGACCATTGCTCCTGGTGGCGCTGCTGGCACATGTGATTGGCTGGTAGCTGTCAATAGGCACAGCCTCCCCTTTGATGGGGTCAGAAGTCCTGCCTGTAGCCAATTAAGGGCACTACAGTGGTTGAATAGCACGAGTGTGGGGAGGGGGATGTGGACAAGTGTAGGTTGGCTCTTCCTGACTTTCACATTAAGGGTTGGGGCCCCCAGTCCTACCTTAAAATTCAGCCCGCTTTGGAGAGTCTGTAAGTCCCTGGTTAAAGGTTGAGAGAGGATTGGGGAAGGACAGGGGAGGTGTCAGTTATGCTGGCCCATTGGGATAAAGAGTTTGAGGATAAAGGACAGAGAAGATTCACCAGGAGGTTGCCTGGGATGGAGAATCTCAGTTATGAGGAGAGACTGCATAGGCTGGGTTTGTTTTCCCTGCAGCAGAGGAGGCTGGGGTTGGGGGTGGGGAGGGATCTGACTGAGGTAGACAAAATTATGAGAGGCATGGACAGGGTAGATCATGAGAATCTTTTCCCCAATGGCAAACGCGTCTAAGACCAGAGGTGTAAGTTCAAGGTGAGGAGTAAATAGTTTAGAGGAAATCTGAGGAAAGTTTCGTTTCCACCCAGAGGCTGGTAGAAATATGGAACGGGCTGCTTGAGAGGGTGGGGGGAGGCAGGTGCTCTTGCAAGCATATGGATGGGCACTTAAAATGCCAAGGCATAGTTGGCTATGGACCAAGTGCAGGTAAATGGGATTGGTGTAGTTTGGTATTTGTTGGTTGGCATTGACATAGTAGGCCGAAGGGCCATGTTCTATGCTGTATGACTCGACGACATTCACAAGCTGGGCACACAGATAGGATAATAGAGTACAGAATGTCGTTCATTCCATCCATTGTGTTGGCACTGACTCTTTGAAAGAGTCATCTAATTGGTCCCACTCACCTGTTCTCCAACCTTCCCCTCCCACACACCCCCCTCCTATTTCCCAAGTCCTAAAACCTTTCCTTTTCTGAATCTATATTCAGTTTCCTTTTGAATGTTACTGAGGTGGTCTAAAGATTCAAAAGACAAAAGACTTTTGAATCCAGTAACATCCTGATCAATGAAAATTGCTGAATTACATGGAGGAGTCTTAGACAGCAAAGGATTACCATGAACTACTACCTGACACCAGACAAAGGCATTGGAGTGAACTTTCTGATTGTCCTAGGTTAACCCCAGCAATGACATATAGAAACATCAAAAATAGGAACAGGAGTAGGCCATTTGGCCCTTCGAGCCTGCTTCACCATTCAATATGATCATGGCTGATCGTCCAACTCAGTCCCCTGTTCCCTCTAGCTCCCCATATCCTTCGATCCCTTTAGACCTAAGAACTATATCTAACTCTTTCTTGAAAACATTCAATGTTTTGGCCTCAGCTGCTTTTTGAGGCTTAGAATTCCAACTCACCACTCTCTGGGTGAAAGCATTTCTCATCTCAGTTCTAAATGTCCTATCCCATACCTCTAGATTGTGACACCTAGTTCTGAACTCCTCAGTCATCACAAACATCCTTCCTGTGTTTACCAGGTCTAATCCTGTTAGCATTTTACAGGTGTCAATGAGACTCATGCCTCATTTTTCTAAACTCCAGTGAATGTAGTCCTAACTGATCCAATCTCGCCCCACCATACGTCAGTCCTGCCGCCCCAGGAATCAGTCTGGTAAACCTTTGCTGTGCTCCCTCCATCACCAGAACATCCTTCCTCTGATAAAGAGGCAGAAACTGTACATAAAACTCCAGGTGTGGACTCACCAAGGCCCTAGGCAATTTCAGCAAGACATCCCTGCTCCTGTACTCGAATCCTCTCACTGTGAAGGCCAACATACCATTTACCTTATAAAAACTGAGCATTTAGCAGCAGGGACATTGATGTGACTGCTCTGGCAGTTCTAGTGAATAACTAGCTGGAGGTCAGGGACGAAGACAGCATTGGGAGAGAGATGCACCCTTGTACAAAGTCTCCCAAAGTCATTGGTTTACTGTCAAGTCAGTCTAAAACAGGCAGACAAGACCAACTGAATGCCAACATATTTGGTCTCTGTTAAGGAGATGTGCTGGACCATGCTACCTTTCAGCGATGTCAAAAGCAATTAACATCAAAAATTAATACCAGCTGCTTCAGTCTTAATGTAATCAAGGAATGCCAGTTCACGACACGTTAAGCCCCTCACATTTGGACAGTGTCGCTCTCTTTATTTAACAATCTGCCTAGTCTGCTTCAGCACTTTGTACAGACTCACCTGGAAACAGTAACCAGAGATAGAGAAATAAAGAGACATTTTCCCTGTGCACTGCAACCTAACATGTCCCTCAGAAACATCTCGAAGTGTCTGATATACAAAGGTGCCACAGGAAGATCCCACAAATTACTATTAGGTGAGCAGGTAATGAATTTGATTTTGGAGTCATAGATTCATAGAGTCATACAGTATGGAAACAGACCCATCCAACTAGTCCACGCCAACCAGACATCCTAAACTAACGTAGTCCCATTTGCCAGCATTTGGCCCATTACCCTCTAAACCCTCCCTATTCATGTACCCATCCAGATGCTTTTTAAATGGTTGTAATTGTACCTGTCTCCAGCACTTCCTATGGCAGCTCATTCCATACTCACACCACCCTCTGAGTGAAAAAGTTACCCCTCGGGTTCCTTTAAAAATCTTTCCCCTTTCACCTTAAACCTATGCTCTCTAGATTTGGACTCCCCTACCCTAGGGGAAAGACCTTTGTTATTCAGTTGGCCTCACCATCGGAACTGCCTCTACTGTTTGTTACCCACCAGAACCACTGAAGCAGGCAAGTATAGGGCCAGTCTTTAATGTGGTAGCAGCTGTGCCTCAGTGGGTAGCATTCTCACGTTTAACTTGGAAGGCTATGGGTTCGAGACCCCTGCCGACATTCGCACAGTGACACTGTTGACAATGCGTTATTTTGGAAGACAAGACGGCACCTCTCCTCTCTAGTAGGTGTAAAGGACTCCATTACACTGTTTTGAAGAGGAGCACAAGTCCTCCCACATTAGGGGTGGCACGGTGGCTCAGTGGTTAGCACTGCAGCCTCATAGCACCAGGGACCCAGGTTCAATTCCAACCTCGGGTGACTGTCTGTGCAGAGTTTGCATGTTCTCCCTGGGTCTGCATGGGTTTCCTCTGGGTGTTCTGGTTTCCTCCCACAGTCCAAAGATGTGTAGGCTAGGTGGATTGGCCATGCTAAATTACCCATAGATTTCAGGAGTGTGTGGGTTATATGGAGATGGGTCTGGGTGGGATGCTCCAAGGGTCAGTGTGGACTTGTTGGGCAAAAGGGCCCGTTTCCACACTGTAGGGATTCTTTGATGTCCTGTCCAATAGTTATCCTATCCCATACCAACATCAACAATCAGGCTATCTGGTCATCCATCTCACTGCTAATTATGGGAGCTTGCTGGTTCCAGGTTTCCCATATTATGAAAGGTTACCATGTGTGTGTCAGAATGGGGGCAGGAGCATGGGGTTTGAAGGGAGATGCTAAGGTACTTAGCCAACAACAGAACAAGGTGAAAACAGAAAAGAGCAAAGTTTTACTTGTCACACTCAGCTCTTTACCATCCACCAAAGTTATGACAGATCAGCAGGGCCAACCCGTTAGAAATTTCCCCTTCATCACACACACAAAACACACACTCACACACATAGACAGACACATGCTCACACTCACAGACAGACACAAAATCACACTCAGACACACCATACTCACAGACAGAGACACATTCATACTCACAGATTGACACAAATACTCACACAAAACACACTCACAGATAGACACAAAATCACACTCACACTCACAGACAGACACAAAATCACACTCACACTCACAGACAGACACAAAATCACACACACACATAGACAGATATGCTCACACTCACAGACACAAAATCACACTCAGACACACCACACTCACAGACAGACGCACACGTGCACGCACAGATAGACACAAATACACACACACACTTACTCACAGATAGACACAAATACATGCACACAGCCACACTCACAAATAAACACCCACACACTCACAGATAGACCCAAATATACACACATAGATGCACAAATACAAACACACACACACGCACAGGTAGACACAAATACACACTCATAGTCACAATCACAGACAGGCACAAATATACACAGCCACACTCACAGCTAGATGCACATACACAGACACAAATACACGTTCTCAGACAGACACAAATACACACACATACTCTCACTCACTCACAGACACACTTTAAGATAGACACATATGCACACACTCGCAGATTGGCACATACACATTTTCATAGATAGAAGCATGCTCACATACACACTCACAGAGACACACATATATGTATTCACATACATACTCAGATAGAAACATGCATTCATCCACATGCACACCCGCATGCACACACACAGATATGTACGCACAAAGACATGCACATACATACATACAGACACACATAACACATACACACACACACACACACACACATACACACACATACACACACACACACACAGGTTTTGACTTTGCTTAAAAGAAGTGACTTACCCAGGAGAAAAGGGCAATTTCCATTCATTGATTAGGAAGGGAATAAGGTGATATGAAGACAAGGTTAAGAAAGGTTTAGTGAAAGATCCCAAGATTTCCTTTCAGGAACCCAAAGCCTTACCTTTGTTGTTCTTGCATCTCTGTTCACAATCCTCCTGTGTGTGGAACCGGTTTGCATTGCCCATGCAGCCACTGTAAATGAAGGGTCGACATTTGTCTGTCTTCCTGTGGTAATACCAACGCAGTGTGTACCTGGAACATGTTCCTTCATCCAGGGCCAACAGGCAGGGCTCTGCTCAATCCAAAGGACAGTCAGCAGTTAATAAACTATAGAACTTTGATGCCTTTTTGTCATAATAGAACAGGCCCTTTCAAACTCTTACACTTCCAACGCCATCTTCCACTCTATTTTTCTCTTCTCCCAGACACTCCCTCGTCCTCTCACTCTCTTTCTCACCCTGTTTTCATATCCCCACTTCTTGGTTTTCTCCTCCCATTGTCTCTCTCTTTCCCCACTTGTCCCCCAACCCCTCTCTCTCTTCCTTCTCTATTTCCCCTCTCCATCTTCTTTCTCAACCATTGGCTATTTCCCTCATCTGTCTCTCATTTCTCTCTCAGCTTTCTCCGACCCGTTTGTCACCCCCAATTCTTTCCCTTGCCACACTCTCTATCCTATCTTTTCTTGCACCGTCTCTCAACATTCTCCCTCCTTCTCTCTCAGCTTTCCCATTCCCATCTCTAACTCACGCATCTTTCTCGCCTTACCCCTCTCTCCTGACCTGCCCTATCTCTCTTCGCTCTGTCTCCCTTCTTGTGCACTAACCCACTTCAAAGTAACAGTTTCTCCTCCCAATCGCATTTCCAGTGTCCTCTCATGGTCTACCTTGTCTTTGCTGCCGATGCCTGCTCTTGGCCATGTCAACTGCCAGATAAATGGATGTTGCCATTGAGCAGGGAGCTTGGTTTTTCATCAGGTTGGATCAGGTTGACGGACTGTCACAGGGTAGGATGAAATATTCCACCGAAAGTCATGCCTTTGTGTGGATACAAGCCTTTGCTGCTGTAATTTATATTCTGCCTCTAACTCTGCAATTTAGAATTTTCATTTTCACTAAGGGAATAACATTTGCTGAAGTGACCTCCCTGTTTGTAAAGGGACTGTCGTTATGTCAGCAAACACGGCAGCCATTTTCTCCATCCACACCAATCAAATAAGTGACCAATCATTTCTCTTTGGACACTAGGACAGCTTCCCTGCTCTACATCCACGGGATCTTCTTTCTTCCCAACTTCAATGGATCTTCAGCAGAACTTGAGTGGTCAGGAAGAATGTCTCATCTAAAGAGAAACACGTCCGAGAGAGCCTTATTCCCTTGGAAGTGGAGACTATGCTGCAGAATGATGACCTAACATGAGGGCATGACCCCACTGGTTTCTGTCTGAGAGATGGTAGTGTTACTGACTGTGCTTGTCTCAGTTAGACAAATACTTAATAAACCTTCAAAAGAGAAAGATGATCTGGTCATTTATCTCATTGTTGATGGAGGGACTGTTGTTGTGAATCATGTGGCTGCTGTGTTTCTCTATGACAATTCCTGCACATTGTCCATGATTTGTTGGATTAAAGCACTCTGGAATATCTTGAGATCTTGCCAGGCGCTACAGGAATGCAAGCTTTTCTTTAGCCCTTCACTGCCAATTTTGCCCCGTGTATTATGCCCTTTACAAAAGGAGCAATTTTACTTCAGATATCTAGAAACAGCTTGGTTTTAATGCGGCTTGTCTTGTGTTACCATATAGGGCTCAAAGTTAAAGTGAAGCACTTCTTACAAGGGACAGTGTTGGAGAGAACATGTCTCACTTTTTTCTCTCCTGGCCTGGTCATCTCCAATGGTGACAGAACAGTCTATCACCCTGTCTTCTCAGTTCAATTATTAGCAGATTGAAAGGAGCTGATGTAGATGGAAGAGCAAAGGCAAAAGGATGAGTAGTGTCCCACAGAGCAAAGACTTTGAAGAGTTCTCCTGCTTCTGGGAGACATCCAAGCAGATGTTATATGATTGCTGGGTGCAGGGAAAAGCCGAACACGATGTCGCACATCTCCTGAAGCCAGAGTGCAGAGCACAAGATCAAAGAGCAGGCACCCTGTTCTGATCTAAGGCATTACAGTATCACTGCAGCTTAAAACGGTTGTCTCAGGGCGGGTAAATGGTCTGGTTGTCAGCCCCTGTGCTCAGGAAAGTTCCCAGTTTCAATCCCTGACCAGGGTCCTCTTAGCTGCCCCCAGGCTGGTTTTGAGGAGTGAGCCTTATTTGGGGAAAGGAGCAATTGAGGTGTCATGTCCTATTGCTGTCCCATCATGCTTCCTGGCAAACATGGCTGTTGGATGTAGAGATCAGTAACCTGGGCTGTGGGGAAGAGTGAGTATCTCTGTGATGCTACACCCCACTGCACTCTCCTCATCTTAGCCCAACCCCCAAAACCCTTCCTAAACCAGCATCACGAGGTTCCTACCTTGTTCGGCGGCTTCTCTTCTATACCTTTCCTGTTGTGGTGCAGTTGTAGGGTCTACTTTATCGCCTGTCGGTGGAAGGCAAACTAAATGAGTGGTCCCTTTAGTATTGAAATGAAGGAGCGCGCTAACCACTTGTGGTGAAGGGTCCAATGCTGGCAGTTCTGTGGCAGGTACAACCATTCTACTGTACAGAAACTGGCCATTCAGCCCATCTGGTCGATACACTCTTGAAGAGCTTTCCACCCTGAGTCATCTAACTTTACCACCATACGCTTCTGCTTCTTTCTCCCTCAAGGATCATCCAGCTTACCTATAAAGGCACCTTGACTCAACAATTCCAAATAGCAACAGGTTCCCTATTCTTGGGAATCCCTGGGAGAAGATAAATTTCATGAATTTGTTTTGTTTTGGCTCATGAATTCCATCCTGGATTTATTGGTGTCTATCTGATATTCATCAATCTATTGGTGCCTGTCTGATATATATCAATCTATTAGTCTCTGTCTGATATTTATCGATCTATTGGTGTCTGTCTGATATTTATCGATCTATTGGTGTCTGTCTGATATATATCGAT